CTTTTAACTATACCAACTTTATGTAAAAATTTGAAAATAGACTATTTTGCGGTTTTCACAACTCCCTCTGACATTTGATATAGCTACTTTTTTTTTTTCCATCCTGGCATCTGTAACTGCAAAATCTCTCTTCTTCCTCTGCTTACTTAATCTCTGTCCTTTGTTTGGCCTCTCTTCCTCTCATTCCTCAACTGACAGATTCTCATGGGTGTTGCCTTTGACTCTGCTTTTCCGTCAGCATTTAGCCTGTTGGTTTCATCTGTAACCTTTAAGCAACTGACTCCCTATAATTTGGATGTTTGGCCTTAATATTTTATTTCCTGCTGCAATGAATGCATGTTCTTTAAAGTAGCTCCATAATCTCATTCTTCCATATCTATCAATATTGTCATCATTTCTAATTAAGGCTTTGAAGTTGTCCTTGGATTGTCTGCCTCTTTTTTGCTCCCTAAATCCATTCACCAGGTCAGGGCTCTTTCATCTTAATTCTCACTGACGCTATCAATTTCTCAAGCTATATTGCTATAACTTATTAATTTGCCTTCTTATGTTTCATGTTTTTTCTCTCCTTAAGAAATTCTATAGGTAGTTTCCAGATTAAAATCTATCTCTGTGCCTCTCTTCATTGAACTATAACATACTTAGAGAAAAGTGCACAAATCACACACAGGTGCTCACCTCAGCTTGAAATTTTACAAGCTGAACATACTTATGTAACACCAGCAAAAGAGTAATTTTAAAAATCACATTCATGACTTTGTTATTTTGATCTAAAAGCCAGTTAATTCAGGGAGTTTGAGCCTTATTAATTTCCTTAACAGTGGAATAGCAGGGGGGAAATTGGCATGTCATTTCCAAATGCTTGTCGCATAGAGCTTGATTTCAGAGACATTTATTTCTTTACTTCACCTCATACCCACTTTTTTTGCCTCATAATGCTCTTCCTCAAATATGCTTCCTTTTTGATGTTTTATAGTCTTAATCATGGTCGTTACTCTAGCTCCAGCTCATATCTTGCCATTTCCAGGGAACTTTGCTTGGCTAGTCAAGCTTTAATTTTTTTCCTTTTTCTCTTAAAAAATTCTTTAATTAATTTATTTTTAAAATAATATCAATAGATTAACTTAGAACAAAATTCAAATGCACAAAAGGGTATTGAGTGAAAAGTCTCCCTCCCACTCCTGTGCCCCAGTGACTATGGGTTCTTCTAGAAATACTTTTATGCACTTAAAAGCAAAATAAATTTTTATTATTCTGCCTTCTTTTTAAACAATATCAAGTTCTGTATTTTACTTTTTTCAGTTAGTAATTCTTAATGATAGTTCCAGATCAATACACAAAATGTTTCCTCGTTTTTTATTAGAGTTGAACCATATTCCACAGGATGAATGTACCATGATCAGGACTCCCACATATGGTTGCGAAGGTTGGACACTGAACCAATTCACATAGATTATGATTTGAATGGTTCTCCCTAGAATTATTCAGTTATAGTTGAATATCACAGCCTTGATTGTAATTTACTTGGTCAGTTCTTTTTGCTGGATAGTTCCAGGACTGTCTTTCTCCCTCCCTCCCTCCCATCCACCAATCCATCCATCCATCCATCCATCCATCCATCCATCCATCCATCCATCCATCTGTTTTTTGTTTTGTTATTTCAAACACTACTGAAATGGATAGTGTTATAAATGTCATTTGACATCTATCATGAAATTATCTGTAGGATACTATTCTCTTAATTCCTAAAGTATTTATAAGCTCTACCAAGTCAACAATTAATTTATTATGGAGTTGTTTTAATTTTTTATTATTTGTTGTACTTTAAAGAGTGATACCATATATTAAATTATTTTATACTCATCCAGACCTAGAATATTGGTATATGTAAATAAGTACTTAGGATAGGCTGGAGTGCTTCTCATATACCTTCCAGATTTTGTCTTCATTTTATACTTCTGAGCTCCTTCTGAATTTCTGATAACAAAAGAAAAAAATATTGTCAAAGCTAGATGTATTTAGAAGTAGAAGTGATATTTATCCCAGTACTGAATAAAATGAGCTACAATTTCATATATGGTTTAAAAAAAAAAAGTAAACCCTTTCCCTTTCTTCAGCCTCAAGTCATGTTCCTTATTCTTTCATTGAAAACATTGGACCAGATAAAGTATATATTCACTGAGACTTAGTTGAGCTGTAGGTAAAATAACAAAAGTGTTCCAAAAATTTTGTAAATTTTTGTGCCCATTAAAGATACAGCACATCAAAATAAAATATTCAGAGCTACTACATACAGAATGAAAAAAATGAAACTGGAATTATCCTACTTTCTGTTAAGTAAGTCAATTACTTTACATTGACTTATTTATGTTAAGGTCCATTTAGTGTCCTGGTTGCTACTTTGGAAACTTTGATGAAGTGCAGTTTTCCACTATGCCCTCCCCCACATATTTGCTAGATCATAAAACTGGACAGTTTTCAGTTGGGGAAAAATTGTAATTTGTTCTCTATTTGGAAAACCCACATTTTTACCATCTGTTTAGATGATATCACTGAGGTTAGGGAGATAAACCTCTTCTCATTTTTCTGTGTAGCTTAGAGGCTCACAGCTGAATTAACAAGAAATTGACTGTTGGTATGGATGAGCCGGAACTAAACATAAAAATCGTGTTTCTTCATTTCTTCTAACTTGCCCTGAAAGATTCACTGCCTGAAATTCTAGAAGGCTGGAGAGTAAAATAAATTCTGTCATAGTTTTCAGAATTTATAACAAACAAGCAGAATATTTTGGGGAAGTTGCTGATAATGGACCGTTAGATGATCGTGTTAAGCTGTAGTGATTTTTTAAAACAACTTACTGAAACATAATTCACATGCTGAAGAGTTCACCCATGTAAATTGTACAGTTCAGTGATTTTTAGTCAGTTCAAAGAGTTGTGCAATTATTATCACAATCAATTTTAGAACATTTTCATCACCTCAAAATGAAATCTGGTATCAGCAATTACTCCTCACTTTGTCCCAAATTTGTCAGCCGTAGGCAGCCACTAATCTACTGTCTGTCTCTATAAATTTTGGACATTTCATATCATAGAGTATGTCAGTCTTTTGATTCTGACTTCTTTCACTTAGCTTAATGTTTACAAGGTTTATCCATGTTGTAGCTTATATCAATACTTCATTTCATTGCCAAATAATATTTCATTTGTATGGATATCATGCTTTATTTATCTACTTATCACTTGATGGACATTATTTCCATTTTCTGGCTATTGAAAATAATTCTGCTTGAACATTATGTACAAATTTTTGTGTGGACATATGTTTTCATTTTTCCTGGTTATATACTGAACAGTGGTATTTCTGGGTCATATAATAACTTTATGTTTAACTTTTGAGAAACTGCCCATTTTACATTTTCCTTAGCAGTATGTGAGGGCTCTAATTTCTTTACAGTGTCCAGCACTTGATATTATCTGTCTTTTTGGCTATAGACATACTAGTGGTGTGAAGTGGTATCTCACTGTGATTTTGATTTGTATTTTCCTAATGGCTAATGATATTGAACATCTGTTCATGTGTGCATTGGACATTTGTAAATCTTTTTGGAGAAATCTCTTTTCAGATCTTTTGCCCACTTTAAGTGGTTTGCTTTTTTTATTATTGAGTTGTAAGACTTCTTTATATATTCCAGATAGAAGTCCCATGTCAGATAGGATTGAAAATATTTCCTCCCATTCTGTGTATTTTCTTTTCACTTTCTTGATGGTGGTGGCCTTTGAGGTACAAAAATTTTTAATTTTATTAAAGTCCAGTTTATGTATTTTTGTTTTGTTGCTTGTGCTTTTTGTTTTAAGAAACCATTACCTGAGCCAACGTTATAAAGATTTACTTTGTTTTCTTCTGAGAGTTTTATAGGTTTAGATATTTAGATCTATTATCCCTTTAAAGTTAATTTTTTGTGTATGTTCTAAGGAAAGCATCATGCTTCATTCTCCTGTATGTGGAAATCCGGTTATCCCAGTAGCATCATTAGTGGAAAAGACCGTTTTCCCCATTGAGTAGACTTGGCGCCCTTATAGAAAATATTTTAGACATAAATGTGAGGATTTATATCTGGAACCTCTGTTCTACTTCATTGATGTCTGTGTCTATCCATATGCCAGTACCACATTGTCTTCATTACTGTCGCTTTTCAGTAAGTTTTGAAATGAGGAAGTGTGAGTGCTCCAATTTTGTTCTTCTTTTTCAAGATTTTTTTTGTTTATTTTTGGTTATTCTGTTTCCCTTAAGTTTCTATGTAAATTTTAGGATTAGCTTGTCAATTTCTGCAAAAAAAAGAAAGCTAGCTTAGATGTTAATATGTATTGAGTTAAATCTGTAGGTCAAATTGGAGAGTATTGCCTTCTTAACAATGTGAATTCTTTAGGATCCAGAAATATGAATCTTTCCATTTATTTAGGTCTTCTTTTATTTATTTCAACAATGTTTTGTAGTTGTAAGAATACAAGTTTTGCATTTATTTTGTATTTTTTTTCTAAACATTTTATTCTTTTTGATGCTGTTGTAAATAGCATTTTTTTAAAATTTTGTTTTTGGGTTGATCAGTGTATAGAAATACACTTGATCTTTGTATATTGATCTCATACCCTGTAATCTTATTGATTTATTTATTCTAATAATAGTTTTAATACTTTTTTATTGCATTGCTTAGGATTTTCCATCTAAAATGTCTTGTCATCTGCAAATATAGTTTTACTTCTTCCTTTCCAGTTTTAATAGAAATTACTTCATTTATTTCATTGTACTGACTAGAACCTCCAGAACAATGTTGAAGAGAAGAGGTGAGACTGGACAATCCTTATCTTGTTCCTGATCTTTGGTGTGAAAGCATTCAGTTGTAGTGATTTTATTTTTTTACCCTAAAATGAGCCATAACTTTGTTTTGAGGACTAATTTTCTTTTGATTTAACATTTTTTTCTTCTGTTTACATACACAGATATGTGCTGATTAGAAGGCTCCCTTGTGCAGTGTGGAGGAGAAGACAGTGCCGTACAAAAATGGGGTTTGGGAGTGACCTGAAGAACTCACATGAAGCTGTGTTAAAATTGCAAGACTGGGAGTTACGGTTACTGGAAACAGTAAAGAAATTCATGGCCCTGAGGATAAAAAGTGATAAAGAATATGCATCTACTTTACAGAACCTTTGTAATCAAGTTGATAAAGAAAGTACTACCCAAGTGAATTATGTCAGCAATGTATCCAAGGTAAGAGGAATAATTTCATCATTTATGTATAGCCTCATAATTGTGCTTAAGGCAAATAGGTCATACTATATGTGGTAAACTCCCCACAATAGCTTATTATTATTAAGATTGCTTTAGGTAGTTGATTATCTTTTTAATAATTTAAATAATAAAAACACAAGTCTTTATATTTGCCCATTGTGTTACAATTTACAGTCCCCTTATTTCTTGGTGTATGTCTAGGTGTCCATTTGGTATTGCTTCCTTTTGCTTGAAGGACTTCCACTGACACTCTTATAGTGGAAGTCTGCTGATAATTCATTTTTTCAGGTTCTGTAAGTGTGAAAATGTCTGTGTTGTCTTTGTTTTTGAAAAATATTTTTGCTGTTTACAGAATTCTAGTTTGTACCTTTTTCTTTCAATACTACTTCAAAGTTATTGTGGTATTATTTCCTTCCATTGTTGCTGATGAAATATTTATGTTTTTTCCTCCCCTCTGGCTGTGCTTGAACTTTTCTCTTTATCACTGATTTTAATCAACTTATGTGCCTTTGTGTAGGTTTCTTCATGTTTCTTCTGCTAGGAGTTTGTTGACTTTCTTATATCTGTGGGTTTACAGTTTTAATCAACTTTGGAAAAATATCAGCCATTATATAAAAACAATATTTTTTAGGCCTCTCTCATCCCTCTTTTCCCCTTTGGGGAGTCTGATTACATATATATGTGACCATTTGAAGTTACTCCACAGTTTACTGGTACTCTTTATTTATTTTTCTGTCTTCTCTTTGTGTTTCATTGTAGTTAGCTTCTATTGTTATGTCTTCCATTTCTCTAATCCTGTTTTTATGCATTGTCAAATCTGTTGTTAATTACATCCCATGTATTTTTAATCTCAGACATTTTTCATTTCTGGTGCCCTTTAATAACACTGTCAGTGAGATGAACTCTAACCATTTCCCTGACCGCTCCTCTTCTGGCAGTGTCACTTTTTCCCTCCTTCCTTCCCCTCTGGCAGCCTCACTTCCTGTCTCGCCAATATTTAAATTTAAATATGTCTATGGTGCCATTTCTTTGTCTTCTCATACCTGCCAAACTCAGCTCTTTCTTTTATCCCAAACCTGTACTTTAGGGTGAGGGAACTGGAGAGAAGGAAACAGAAATTGAGTAGTTGAGCCATTTCCACATTGAAAAGGAGCAAGTCTTAAATAAATGAATTATCTGTAATAATTCAATTATCTGTAATAGTTCAATTTGAATCTTTTTATATCATTCATGTCTCTACTTAATAATAAGTTTCTTGAGCATTGGAATACAGCCATAGTTACTGCTTTATTGTCCCTGTCTTCTGTCATCTGTGTTATTTCTGGGTCAGTTTTGATTGACTGATTTTTCTCCTCATTTTGGGTTGTATTTTTCTGCATGGTAATCTTTGATTTGATGCCAGGTATTATGAATCTTACCTATTTGGGTACTGAATATTTTTGTATTTGTTTAAAGGTTCTTGAGCTTTGCTTTGGGATATGGTTAAGTTACTTGGAGACAGTTTGATCTCTTTGGCCCTTGCCTTTAGGTTTGTTAGTTGATGCTAGAGTTATGTGTAATCTAGGGTGAATGTATCTCCTCTAGTGAGGCAAGATCATTGTCAGTGCTCATAGGATGGTCTCCAAATTATGAAGTTTTTCACTCTGGCTGTTGGGGCCTGGCATGATTTTGTGGCTCTATGTGAGCTGTTCCCTGTGATCCTTATGGGCGAGTTATTTCCTTAGCGTAGTTTCCTCACATGCTTAGCTAAATAACCAAGGGGGAGTCTTTCTCAGTTCTCCTGAGTTTTTCTTTGTGCAGTTTTTTCTTTGTGCAGTTTTCTCCTGTCTGGTACTCTGTCCTAGTCTCTTCTCCAGTACTCTGACTACCTTGGTGTCTCTGTGTTCTGAACTTAGTCTCTTTAACTCACAGAGATTAATGAGTCCTGCTTGGTTCTTTCTCCCTGGGCTGTAGCCTGAAAATTTTCTCCATTCAGTAGCCTGGGATAATCTTAGGGCTAGGTTAATTTATTTATAGTCTCTCAGGGTTGACTGTTTTTCATTGCTGGGGTCCAGTGGCTTGAATGCTGTGTATTAAATATGCTTTGGTCAGTTTTTAGTTGTTTTAGGCACGAAGATAAAGCTGTTCCTGTTTCTCTATCTTGACTGGAAGAAGTCTTGCAACTAGTGATTTTTATGTCTTTATTTAACAAAACTAAAATGTACAGCAGACTTCCAATAGAACAAAGAGTTCCCATGCCCTCCATTCTATTCATTAATTGTTAGCATTTTGCTATATTTGCTCTATGGCTTCCTTTCTCAGTATAATTGTATGTGTGTGTGTGTGTGTGTGAGTGTGTATAAATTTGAATGATTTGCAAGTTAGTTGAAGCATTATACCCCTTTATTCTAAAATATTTAAGCATGTATTTTCCAAGGAAATATCCATAATACAATATCAAATATGGGTAATTTAGCATTGTTGCCATGCTATTAACAAAAATACATTCCATATCCAACTTTTGTCAATTGTCCCAATAATGTCCCCTTTTGGCAATTTTTTCTTTTCGTCCTGATTCAAGATCTAATACACAATCTGTCATTTCATTTAGTTATATCTCTTCAGTTCCTTTAATCTGGAACATGAGTGTGAGAAATCCCACTCTGTGCTTTGGTAATTTTTTTATTTCTTACTTAAAGTTATTTTGAAGTGTGTCCATCTGTCTTTAATCCTGAGGGCATGGTTTTCATGTGGTTTTATTTTCCCCTTTTTGTTGTTGGTATTGGTTTTAGAGGAAATATTGGGAGATAGAAGCCTGGGCAGTCATGTATGCTTTCCATTACCTGGACCGTTTCCCCATTATGCTGTGAACACTTCTTGATTCCTTGCAAAATAAGATATTTCCATGCTCATCTTGAATGCTTTCTTTTCCAGTCCAGGAATAAACCCTTTACCCTAGGAATCCTGGTTCCTTTTAGCAGAGAGAATAGATACTTAACCAATTTACTATGTATGGGATTATATAGCTCACAATATTTTGCAATCACATATAATGCTGCAGTGAATAACTTTGTTACAGATGTGTTTTTGTATCATTATGAGTGTCTTCAAGGGTATATTCGTGGAAATGGTATTTCTAGGTCAAAGTGTAAATGTATATGTAGTTTTGTTACATATTGCCAATATAAGTGTAACATTTTAAAGTATATCTTACCATTTTGTATATCCACCAAGAATATAGGAGAGTGCCAGTTTCTGCTTAATCTGGGCCAAAGAGTGTCCTGTCAAACTTTTGAATTTTTGTTAATCTGGTAGGTAAAATGGTATCTAGTGTAGGATTACTTCATATTTCTCTAATTATGAGTAAAATTAAACATCTTTTAATTTGTTTAGTAGCTGTTTTGAGAACTTGTTTTATTCTGTACTAAAGGTAAATTTTACTTTGTGTTTTCTTATTTATCTAAAATCACAACTGTCAGAAATAGAAGAAATCCAAATTGTGAAGAAGTAAAATTGTCTCTGTTTGCACGTTATGATCTTATATATAGAAAATCCACTCTACCAAAAAACTGTTAGAATAAGCAAATTCAGTAAAGTTGCAGGATACAAAATTAACATACAAAAATCAGTGTGTTTCCATACCTAACAACAAACCATCTGAAAAAGAAATAAAGACAGTAGTTCTACTTATAGTAGCACCAGAAAGAGTAAAATACTTAGGAATGAATTTAACCATGTAGGGAAAGATCTGTATACTGAAAATTATAAGACATTTATGAAAGAAATTGAAGAAGACATAAGTAAATGGAAAAATATTCCATGTTCATGGATTGAAAGAATTAATATTTTAAAAATGTTCATACTACCCAAAGCCATCTATAGATTCAGTTTAATCCCTACCAAAATTCCAATGGCATTTTTCACAGAAATAGAAAAAAAACCAAAAAATAGTCCTACAATTCATAGGGAACCACAAAGACCTGAAATAGCTAAAGTAATCCTGAGAAAGAAAAACAAAGCCCAGAGGTATCACAATTCCTGACTTCAAACTGTATTATAAAGTAATAGTAATCAAAACAGTATGAAACTGGCATAAAAGCAAACAAAACACAGACCAGTGGGACAGAATTGAGAGTCCAGAAATAAACCCATGCATATATAGTCAACTAAAATATGACAGGGGAGCCAAGAATAGTTTTTTCAATAAATGGTGTTAGAAAAACTGGATATTCACATGCTAATTAATGAAATTGACCCCTATCTTACACCACTCACAAAAATTAACTTGAAATGGCTTAAAAATTTAAATCTTAACCCTGCAACTATAAAGCTAATACAAGGATACATAGGCGAAAAGCTCCTTTACATTGGTCTTGTCAATGACTTTTTGGATACGACACCAAAAGCACAAGCAACAAAAGCAAAAATAAGCACAAAGGCAAAAATAAAAAGCTTCTGCACAGCAAAAGAAAGAGTCAGCAAAGTTAAAAGGCAACCTATGGAATAGGAGAAAATATTTGCAGACCATTTATCTGATAAGGGGTTAATATCCAAAATATAAGGAATTAATACAACTCAATATAAAAAAACCAAACAGTCCAATTAAAAAATGGGCAGAGGATCTGAACAGACATTTTTCAAAGACGACATACAAATGACCAACAGGTACATGAAAAGATGCTGAGCATTACTCATCATGAAGGAAATGCAAATCAAAACCACAATGAGATATCACTTCATACCTGTTAGAATGGCTATTATGAAAAAGACAAAAGACAATAAATGTTGGCAAGGCTGTGAAGAAAAGGGAACCCTTGTCACTGTTTGTGGGAATGTAAATTGGTACGGTTACTTTGGAAAACAGTATGGAGGTTCCTTAGAATATTAATAATAGAACTACTATATGATCCAGCAATTCCACTTTTGTGTATATATCTGAGGGAAATGAACTCACTGTTTTGAAGAGATATCTGCATCTCCATGTTCATTGCAGCACATTT